GTGACCCGTACGATGAAATTTGGACAGTGATGAGGGAAGGCGAAATCACTATTCATTTTCGCCTATAGGCGTTAAGAAGACTTTTCCTATATAGGAGAAAATGAATAATGATTTCGCCTACCTTCATCACAGTCCAAATTTCATCGCACGATCACGATTGTCCAATAGTATTTTATATTTTTTCTACGAATTGGAATGACCTGAAATTTGAAAGGTATGTACATCTTACTGAGGCGCATCTAATAAAAATATAAAAACAATTATCTGAAAAAATAAATTGACCAAAATACCCCCGAAAATTTTTGGGGGTATTTTGGTCAATTTGTATCATGAAAAATATTTTTTATATATTTTTCAAAGATTCCCCTATTTTTTATGAATACACGCTCCAAATTTTAAGTCATTCCGATTTGTAGAAAAAAAATGAAAAATGAAACACCACGGGACAATCATGACCACACGATGAACTATGGACGGTGATAGGGGTAGGCGAAATCACTGTTTATTTTCGCCTATAGGCGTTGCGTAGTGTTTTCCATATATATATATATATGGGTTTTGTTAGGCTACACCACTTGGTGGTGTAGACCCTTAAAGTGCTCAACATTTTTTAACACTAAAATACCCTTGAATTGTAATACAAAATTTTTTAAATAGGGGCATTTTTGGTCATTTAGAAGGGTAGAATGGATATTTTTATAAGAAAATAGTGGCACTCTATTAGTAGTTAATAACAATTAATGCATCTTGTGGGTGATGTCACACACCATGTCGGTGATGTCATTGTCCACTATTGTTAATAAATGATTTTGCTTCTATTAGTAATTGCTAGTTTACCCTTGACTAATTACTTAAAATACCCCTAAACAAAAAGTTACTATACTACAGGATAAGAGTACCTAAATGTCTAAAAATGTTGAGCACTTTAAGGATCTACACCACAAGTGGTGTAACCTAACAATATATATATATATACTTGGGTGTAGATAGAACCAAATTCCAAACTTTCAGATCATACATTGTAAACATAAAGGGGAAAATGGAAAGAAAAACTAGAACAAGAATATTTTTTTTAACTCTAACCTTAATCCCCTTCTCTTCTTCCTCTGTCATAAAAAGAGGCTCAGGCACATGGAGTTTTATTACTTCTAAGTTTCTACCACAACCATCAGTGGAACTAGTGAGAATGGTATAAGCCTCAACAGAGCGAGAATACTGAGGATCGCGTTCATCATCAGTCCACGCTAAAACAACAACTCCAGGCTTTACAAAGCAGCACATGTTGTCAACATGACCATTAGTATCATCATCACCTACAAAGTTGAGGTACATACAGTTAACAAATGAACCAAAGTGACACTAGAACACACACACACACACATATAAGCAGTATACTTTGTAAATAAATAAAAATCAAATGATCAAGAAGCCTCGGATAAGCATTGTAACCTCTTCTGGTTGTAGGCCTAATGTTCAATGCCTCCATGACACGCCAATCTGAATTCTTGTTCCAGTTGATCGTATTGGGCAGTAATAGCTGTTACATTTTGTGTAAATTGTGTTTCAAAACAATCATGACTTTAGTTGTATGTTTGTTATAATCCAATGGAGAGCTAACCTTCACAGAGCATGCTGGGTGTTCGACAAGCAGGCATGCTCATGCAAGAGCGAGAACACTGAAGATGCACATGTTTGATTGCATTTGCTTTTGCGTAATTTATGGACTGCAGATGTTTGATTACATGTGGGAGCAACTGAGCCCTCAGGATCCTCCACCACGTGAATGTCCATCCAAGCTTGTAATTTACCATCCTAAGACAGGGCAGGACTTATGAGCTTCTTACTGATCTCAACCCATCATATGAGACGGTTCAAAGCCATATTCTAGCAGAAGACAAAATTCCTTTACTTCACAAAGTGGAGGGACACGATACAAGCAGGGAAATTACAAGACAGATTGATGTTGTACATGGCATCTGGCATAAGTGGCAGATGGTAAATAAGCTGTGGGTGTTAAGCATGGTCGAGAACATATGATTGGTCGCCCTAATGCAAAAAATTGTACTCCATACGTTATGGAAAGATGAATCATAGGATAGGTAAATGCTGTTTTCTTCATGGTAGACGTGCAGCACCTCCTGTTGGAAAGCCTGCTGCAAAGTTGGCAGCTCCACAAGTGAGCCATGGCAATATGGACCTACCAGTGGACAAAATTAGTGAGATTGTCCAGCAACCATAGAAGCTAATTTCCTGGTAAGGACCTAATATCTCTTCCTTCCTCCTCAGGGTCCAGGAAATCATAAATCTGTTATTCCTCCACATTCCACCTGGGATTATCAATTCAGCAGTTTCTCATATGACAGGTAACCCTCTCAATTTCATATCTCTTAAAAATGTCAACCTTTTGTTTCTCTAGCTGGTCTCTAGTACGTCAGTTCAAGGTCCTCGTAGCTTTCTCCTCATATCAATTCTCCAGTTATCTCATGTCCTTCATGTTCCCTCTTTTCCGGCAAACTTTTTGTCCATTAATAGTATCAAGAAAGTTTTGAATTGTGAAGTAACTTTCTGTCATATGCATTCTGTTTTTAAGGCATGACTGGGAAAATGATCAGGGAGGTTTCCCGATAGAGTGGTCTACCATTTCAATAAGGCTCTGGAGCACTGGCTTCCCAACATTATGAAGAGGCGAGTTGTAAGTTTGTAACATGCTCGTCGAGGTCACCCTCCTGCTAGGGTTTTGAAGCCATTATTACTACAGTAGTAGTCAATGTTGGTGGTTATGTTGATTGCGAAGTTTGTCATGTTCCCAAGCAGTACTGTTTACCTTTTCTTCATAACAAAGAGCTACGCAATAAACCTTTTGATTTAATACATTCCGATGTTTGGGAACCATCCCCAATTATCTCCCTTTTGGGTGCTCATTTATTTGTTACATCTATTAGTAACAACTCTCCGACCACTTGGATTTATCCCATGAAATCTAAAAACCTAGAATTTGTGATCTTTAAACAATATCATAAAATGATTCACTCAGTTTAATGCAAAAGTCAATTTTTTTTTATCCAACAAGGGGACAGCATGTTAATGAGAAAATGTCTTAGTATCTCCAAAATAATGGTGTCCTTCACTAGACCACATGTCCTATTACTTTAGAACAAAATGCCCTTGCAGAAAGAAAGAACTGCCATCTCTTGAAAGGTGACCAGATCTTTAATGATTTAACATGCAAAGTTCCTAAGACTTATTAATCTTATGCAATTTGTATGGCTTCTTATCTCAGGAGTCGCTTTCCCGTTCCTATACTTGGTAGTGTTTCCTTTGAATGTGCATGTTAATGCTACAAGTGCTATAATCCAAAGAAAGGAGGTGTTATGTATCTATAAACATGACTTTATTTGTAGTCCATATTCATTGTTAAGAACAAATATGTAATTTCTACATTTATTTGTACCCCGTATTGAATCCTTAACTAATTACAGTGAGAAACAATATGAAAATATATCTTTGAGTGAAGAATCTCACTCATGAATGAATTAGAGTCACGTCACTCTTCTTTGGCTTCATCTCCAACCATCTCTACCTGTACCACAAATTGTTTGTCTCTCTCAAATATTCAACGTGATATTTTAACATGGTATCAAAGCAAGTTTCAAACCTTAATATGACCCATCAATCAAAGGTATCAATATTGACTTTAAACCCCAGATCTGTCCACTTAACTTGGATCTCTAGACCTCTCTTGTCTGAAATCTCTTCTCTCTAAATCTCTTTATCAACATCATCCGAGCCTTATCCCAACTATTAGGGGTTGGCTACATGACATATGTTTTGTCATTTTTCTCTATCAAGGATGATACCCTCAATCAGACCACAAGTCATCATATCTCTTCTCATTACTTCCATCCATGTCCTTTTGGGTATTCCTTGCCTTTTTAGAGCCTTTCACTTGAGCCAAATCACCCATACAAACTGGTGTTGTATAATGTCTACGCTACACATGGGCAACCTACCTAAGTATACTTTCCCTCACCCTATCGCCTATTGGATGGAGGCACCCCTAAGTTTCCCCGAATGTATTCAATCTGAATCCTATGCTTTCTTGTCTTGGCACTCATCCATCTCTCTAAATCTCTTCTTTACCATAAATCATTTACCCTAAATCACTTCTTTACCGCAAGTCTCTTCTATTCCTTGATGTGAACAGTGAACCTTAATTACTACTCACATGAACAGTAAACCCTAGTCACTCATGTGAACAGTAAACCCTAGTTACTATTCATGTGAACAGTAAACCCTAGTTACTATACATGTTTGAACATAAATTCCTTTGCTTTCAAAAAAAACACAAAACACAAAATTGTTTCCATTACATTCATTTCTCCCATAGAATCTTGCCTCCCCAACATTCCTTTCCCTAAAGTTTCCATCTAACTTTCTTCTTCCAATTTCATTCTATGGGAAGGAGTTTTTTTACGATGTTTTGGAAGGAAGTAGTTATTAGTCCTTTCATCCGAAGCCTGCAATTGATGGACTATGCAAGGTACCATCGCAATTCATCACGAAATAAGAAGTGAGTTTACAAGGAAAGAGAGAAAAAGTTATAACCCTTAACCTTGTATATGATGATTAGGTGGATTAATTCTGCATTGTCAGAATATATATTACTACCAGTTGTCGATATTAACACTATTGAAGAATTGTGGAAATAATTAAAAACCTCATATGCCTGGCAGTCTTAGCAGTCTAAGAAGGGTGAGGACCTTAAACTTTTCCTTAACCCATCCTAAGCCCGGGTCAAGGAGGTGGGTGGTATTAGGTAGGTAGTCAACGTAAAACTTTGTCAAAACTTTACATGAATTCTGAATCAATGTTCGAACCAGGACTCGGGTAGCCCACCCCAAATAGTTGGGAAAAGTCTCTGATGATGATGATGCCTAGCAGTCTTAGGCCAGTCTAATGCACTTGAGACAGTAACTTTCGAGTTGTAAAAAGGAAGACAAATCCATGTCTGAGTACTTGGCCAAAATGCAATGAATATGTGATCAACTTGCTATGATTCAACATCCCATTAGCGATATTGACAAAGTGTATATTGCCTTGAAGGGTTTTGGAGATCAATATGAGACTTTTATTAGTTCACCTCTAGACCACCATATCCCACTTTTGTAAAATTGCATCCTCTACTTCTTCAGCATGAAGCTATGTTCCCTAATAAAAGGACAACATATCAATCAAGTGTGGATTCTTATTATGTTTGTTTACCAACAACAATAATTCATCTCTTGGGAGTGGTTTTCATGGAGTTATAGGCAAAGGAAGAAATGATAGAGGACACGGTGGCCATGGTAGAGGTGGGAGTTATGGAAATACTGTTGGGCACGGCATCCTACCTCCACCTAACAAGAATAAGAATGGGAGCTCCAATTACGGGAATAGAGGTACAATGCGTCCGATCAGTGGAAAAAATAAATCAGTGGAAAGGACTAATAATGTTGGAGAATAACTGGCTGCATTGAATACATCTACGGAGAATCTAATCATTACATCTCCATCTAAAGCTGTATGGATTGTTGATAGAGGAGTAACCAACCACTACACAGGAGATTCAAATATGTCCTCTTCCCTTGTTCCTAACTCAGGTAGTGGGTCTATTAAGATGTGTCCACTCACCACATTACCCATGTTCGGAGTGTCACCATTCAGTCTTCTAAAGGTCCTATACAATTCAAAAATATTTTCCTTGTCCCTAATTTCAACCGCAATTTTATTTCTGTGCCACAGTAGGCCAGAGAAAATCATGTCTTCCCTGTATCTACTCCCAATTGTGTTTTATTGAAGGACCTCCTCTCAGGGACCACATTCACTAGTGGCTCACGAGTGGACAGTTGTACAGAATTGATGATGAGTCGAAGAAATTCTAAACTCTGGTCATGCTTGTTGTGTTAATAAGGATGACAATGTGTGGCATAATTGATTTGGTCACTGTAGTATAGAGTCCTTAAATAAGGTGTGCAAAATAGGACTTGTTTCCTCCAATATTGGTCAACCCAGTGGGTTTATTTGTCACGGTTGTCAGCTTGGAAGGCATTAAGTTGCCATTTGTTTGTAATAATAGAGAGCTTCTCCTCATGTTTGAGTTAGTGCATTCTGATGTATGGGGCCCACTGCCAACTGCATCTCCTTCCAGTTCCCTCTATTATGTATATGATATTTGTTTATGACTTCTCTAGATTTATATGGATCTTCCTTCTTGATAAAAAATCTCATGACTTATCACTGAGCGCATGTCAAGTTTTTCCCACATAAGTAACTATAAATAGCCCACTTAAAGTGAATTATAGTAATACACTTAACCATCAACTAATACAAGATACATTATGACACACTTGCATTTCAATGGCGTTCACTTCAAAACAATGATTTAAATTTTATATACAGAAAAATCCCATACAATTATGAGAGTTTTTTTCAATAAGCATTGTTTTAACATACCATACAATCCTCGAGGCAACCAAATCACTTTTCTAACACCAAGATAAGCCTTCAGTTCATTCTCAATCTGCTCCTTCGACAAATCTGGGTTGCGATTGGGATTTAATAGGCATTCCTCAGTTGTAATGCAAGTGCCTAAACACAAAAACGAATATAGGACTTTGCAAATAAGAAAAGTTCTAATGCTCACGTGACAAGACCTAGTAGCAAGAAAACTGCCTCAAATATTATCAAAAGTAATAACAACTACAAACTTCCAACAACCTAATTGCTACAAATATGCTAAAAAAATACAAGTAATGGAGGGAGTTGAATAATAACAAACTTCAGGAGTTTAGCAAGGCACTTAAACAATAACCAGAATAAGAAACGCACATTAGAAGCAAAATGTATACACAGTCTCTTTGGTTTTCCTTCCATTTGAATAACTTCTATAATTTGTGCTCCACACCATTCATGACAAACCTTATAAAATTGCATTCTCTTCCAACTCAAAGCTTATAAAATTGCATTCTCTTCCAACTCGAGTTATTGTCATATGTTAGACCTAGTATCGTCTTTACTTTTAGGGCATGTTTGGTAGGTGCGTAAATATTTCCCCATGAAAAATATTTACATATGTAAACACTTCGCAGGAAAAACTTTTGCAAATTTTCTTTTCACCATGTTTGTTAACATGTTTAAAAAGCATTTGTGTAATGAATTACTTATGTTTGGTAACGTGTTTAGTATTGAAATATATGTTTTAAATATATTAAATCTATACATGCAATATGTAAATATTATAATATAATATTCTTATAATATAATATATTAATAGTATATATTAATTATGCATAAATTAATAATATAAATATAAATATATAATATATAACATAATATAATTTACAATATGAATTTATTTCATTAATGCACATTTGTGTTATATATAATACATATTGTATTATAGTATAATATATAATATAATATATTAACAGTATACATTATATTATACTAATAACACTAATATTATGTATTATATTATAATACTATATTACATTAATATACACTATCTAATGTTATATAATATAATATAATATAATATAATAAATTATTTATATAAAATATTTATATATTATATATAAAAATAGGGAAAGTATATATTTACCTTTGCTACAAGGTGGTCACAATAAATCTTGACCATTGGATGTGAAATTGGGTGCCTGCATTTATGTCATTGACCAAGCTCAAAGTCCAAAAGAATTTTTCTCGAACTTTGTGACACAACCAAGCTATCAGATTTCACATCGTATGATTGTAAGTAATTGTAACCTCCCTATTCTAAAGACAAATGGTCTCATTGTATACAATCCCATAAAAATATCATCAAAATATAATTTATATATTTAATATTATTTGATATATAAATAAAATATTATATAATACATATAATATTGTAAATAGTAAAAAGTGAATAGTAAATAGTGGATCCGCATGTGAAAATAAACGAAAGGGAATGTTTCCCCACCTCAAGAGGTGAGGTTTTCTTTTACCATGAATTAGACCATTTCATGGTAAAATGATTTATCATGGGATTTATTTGCATATGCATTACGCATAAAACAAACGTATGAAATGCAATTTTCACGTAAAAATGTTTTCAAGAAAACATTTATGCACAAACCAAACGTGTAAACGTATGAAACGCTATTTTCACATGAACCAGTGCCCTTAGTTTTAAGATTGAACTCTTAACATATGTTGAGCCTTGAAGCAACTTGGTTGAAAGACCCAGGGCACACACCATTTGATGTGCCTTGGTAGCTTCTAAGTCTTTAAACCAAAAGCAAGGGAAAACATCTAGAGGTTAGACACCAATAATATCTTAGATCAACTATGGACATGCCGCCCCTCCTCTCCTAGAACAATCAGTTGCTAATAAACGAGGCTCTAAATCCATAATATGTGAATCACCAAATTCCTCTAACTCTACAGGCGCAACTGTACCACCATCATAAAATTGACTATTTTTCTTTTTGTTAAAGCACATCATTCAGGTTATTCAAGAAGACAAAACTATCTCTCATGACCTTTGTCTTGGAAGATATTCTTGAGAGGTCAAATAACTCAAACAGCCAGTTATGGTTTTTCCATAGAATTAGACTACACCTCCAATTTGTGGGTCAAAGGATTTGGATGGAATAGGATCAACTTCATGTTGGTAGACAATTTATCAAGAACAAACTTCACGTTGGTAGGCTTGAGCCGCATTCGCATGCTCAACATAATTAGGAACAAATTTGAAGCCTCAAGTCAATACTAAACACGATAAAGAACTCCCCAATAGACTATAAAAATGTTATTTATAATATCTAATTCATAGATTTAAGAATTTGGTTTCGCAGCCGCCTTGCAAGATAAGCCAATATGGCTACTTTGTTCCCACGCACAATGCCTAGCTTAAGTATAATATAGATAGCAGGATGAAATTGGATGACCGTATTAACAAAGAAACTGTGAAAGACCACAAAACAAAATGACCGCAAAATGCCTACATGAAGTGAAGTGCAATTTCAACCACGTTAAATTGAAAAGGTTTCAAGACAAATGAGTATTAACTCCACCTTCACCGTCCACATGGATACTTCCACCTTCAAGAATAATGGAATGAGGAAACCTGGGAAGTCTCTCAACTCCCAAAATCTGTTGGACGAAGAAATTAACCAAATCAAATGATATGCCTAGAGTTAATCAAACATATATCTTAAAAATTAAATTTTCAAGTAGAATAAAATCCTACTTTATTCCTTGAACCACAAACCACCTTTCAACTTCAGTCACAGACCTTTTGGGCCACAAGGAGATCAAGACTCCAATCACTATAGCAACCGTTGAGAGCACCTGAAATGAAGGCACACAAACAAGTTACAGAAAATCACTTAAATGTTTGTGAATGTTTGTGACAAAAGATATTTTGAGCTCTTGGACAACTGCACAAATATAATGACTTGGTGTCTCCCGTACAAATCATTAGCTATTGTACTACTCTAGTTCAAGAAAAGCTATGAAGCATTAAACAGCTATAAGCTCGCAATATTTTCTAGATTGCGTTTGAAGACATCAATCATAGTCGTTCTGAACTGCATGCTAACCAGGAAAGATCTTATGCTCCTTCCCTAAGGCATGGAGCTTCAGTTGGAAGAAATTTACACTGGGGAATTACTGTTGTCAATCATGAGTACATGACTGACAAAATTTCACAATAACATTTTCCAAGATGACTGACTGATGTATGAATTTGTAATTGTATAACGCTACACAGAAGGGTATGCTTTTAACTTTAAACGCTCCTAATAATTATATAAGAGGGAGATCATTTAAGTCATCTTGGGCCCGCATGTAACAATGAGTTTTTTTTTTTTTAAATGTCGCATGTAACAATGAATTTATGTGTGTATGCAGGAACCACTCATAAATAGAACAACAAATACAAATCATTGCTCACAATTCAAATTTCTCAACTTTAATGTTCATCCTTAAGGATCTGACATTCAATATTTACATGTTAATACTATAACATGATATATGACATAAAGTTGTAAAATGTAAATAAGAGGTTGATTATTTATGACAAAAAAGATCGACATACTATTTACAATTTATGAAAGAAACATGGAAAGCAGGACATTCTTCATGGATTTTAGCAAAACAACACATCAATCCTTCCATTCTTTACTTAAGAGTAAATAGAAGATGAGAAAATAAGCTAAACACCATACCACCCCAGCCATTAAAATTCCAATCAATCCCCGCAACTCTGTGCTCTTGGTACCCTGAACTTGATTGCTTGTCACACATAACAAACTTATTCCCGAGAATGTCAGGCAATGACTACAATGAATTAACTAGCATGCACACTCATATAGAACTCAACAAAACAGATGGAAAAGGAAATAAAAGCTTACAGTGGGTCCGATGTCCCTGAACCATGAATCGTTCATACTCATCTCCAACACTCGAACATTTTTTGGCAGCTTAGCACGTGCATTGGACCACTGCATGAAGAAACCAATCAGGAAGATAAAGGTTAAATTACATAAAGAAGATAAAAGGAGAGCCACATCCCTTAGTGACATTAGAATGATCATATGTCTAAAGTATAGAAATCATAAAAACCACAACTCATGGATCACTGTAAATTTTTCCAACCTGAGAAGCACTAGCACAAACATTTACAGGCTCGAACCTTGATATTGCACTTGCTACTTTTACAAAAGCATCCTGTCCATGCACAGCATCATTGCGCCAATTATCCCCACGTTCCTGTGATCCTCAATGAAGTTAACATATTGATTTCCCATATAACTACGATGTAGACTAAGCATGTTAATAGGGAAGTTTCTACATACTTCATCAATGAATCAAATCAGGCTCAACAATGTGGGGAAGTTACTTTTTACTTTTAGAAACCAGTCATCTAATGCTGATTAGCTATGAGATTAACAAAAATTTTGAGCAACAATGTATATCAAACAAGGTTTCCACACACTTATGAAAGAAAGAAATCCCAATTGGAATTTTCCAATGATTCTATGTATACATATCAGCACAGTCTTCGTGACCACAACTACTGACTTTCCTTAGCATTATCCAATACTTTCCTTTTCTAGTAATATATGGAGCTCTATAGAGCCATTTTCCAATAAATGTTCCCAAGTTATCTTACCCTGCATGCTAGACAAACACAGCCTTTTTTTGCGCTGCGGACTTTAAAGAATTACAATTTATTGATATCTTCTTTTGTCATTAATTTACAGGTCACTATGCACATGCAAAACAGAAATACCAGAATACAAACAGTAATTGCCAATATTTGACAATGGGAAATCATAAATAGGAAAAGAAGACCTATCACAGGCAGAACCACATAGAATATTTAAACCAGAAAAGGGAAGGAAAGAACCCTATATCTCTTAACACAACCTAATATTTTAAACCTGCAGACTCATTAGCAACAAAATTGTTATCACCACAGAAAATGGGAGAAGCATGATAAACAAAATATGAAAATAATATTCATCTGTTTATCAACACAAATCCCAATAATACTATTTGTCCAGAGGAATCTCCACGTAAGTATCTCTCTCTCATCACCAACAGACCACCATAACCAACCACAACAGATAGCCTGGTGAGAGTGCACCTCATTTATTACCCTTGTTATCCTAATTTTTCAATCCTCTTTGTAATTAGGTCTGCAAGTCTCATCCCAATTAACTATGAGTTCTTTGGGAATATTTTTTTCTAAGTTTTTCAAGACACAGGCAGTTTGTATGAAAAAAGGACATATGGTCCATATACCTGATTCTGACTTCACAACTAGTAGAAATGTAAGAAGTAAAACACATGCACCCTAAAAGAAATATAAAAATAGAAAATCCTTGGTTTTCTTTCTAGATAAACCCACAAAACATCATCTTTGAATAAGAATGAAAAGGGTCCATATAATATAATCCATATGGTTATCACAACCACATGGCCATGACGTTATCACCATTCCATCAGTGGGTTGGACAGTGATGTGGGGGAGCAGTTCCAAACAAACATGTCACTCATTGAATTTTAGGCATCTACTCTCCTTCAATATCACCATCCAACCGATTGATTAGTCGTGATAAAGTGCAACTCCATATAAATCATACCATACTTTTCCAAATTAAAATCAGCACCCAGTAAGAACATAGTTTCACAGATAAAAATATTAGTAACATAGTATAGCACCAAAATCTAGCAACCGTTACATAACTGTATATAGGTAGGTTCAGCATGTAAAATCAAGAATAGAACAGGAAAGCTACGGAGTTGTTAACTTTTATGGCTACTCTTCACAATTACAACTTGTGAATTGGTTTCTCTTGGATGGAATTCAGTTATTTCCAGTTCTTTGGTAGGATAAGGTACAGCAATCAACAGAAAACAAAATGTGAATACACTTATGCCAATCTTCTATGCTAATTGGTCCAAATTTTGGAGATCTGAAAACCTGAGTTTTTTTCCACATAAACACAAAATCAGCTTGGGGCCCATTTTCCCTTTTCAACTCGGAATGGCAGATGATTGATCAGAGTCACTCACTAATGAGGATTTGGACCAAATCACCCAAAAACGATGCTAAAAAATTTGCCTCAGGCTCGGGGATCGGCCTCTGGCCAAGCCAAGTAATGGGAAAAATCTGAGTCGACTTGGTCGAGTCTTGTGCAAGCCCAAAAAGAGCTCCAAAATTGCATAAAACAAAAAACAATTGTTAAAAATAATTAAAATCAGAAAAATAATTGATTTTATGTATTCATCATTTACTGCTTGTATGAAGGAAAAGAGTATATAAAAAATATAATACAGAGAAAATGGATATATACCTTGAAACTTCAGAAAAACCAAAAAAAAAAAAAAAAAAGAATAATAGAGCATATAATAAAAAAAACCATAAATCATCATCAAAATTATATATAAAATAGATAATAGAGCATATAATAAGAAAAACCATAAATCATCATCAAAACATCAAAATTATATATAAACATATCTATATACAATTTATAGTGGTTTTGTATCATATAATTTTATGAATTTTTTATGATCCTGACTTTGTACACCAAACTCACCTCGTCAGGGTGCCGAGGCCAAGTTTCTCAACCAAGTCCTAGTCAACTCGATAGAGTTTTAAATCACTATCCCAAAAAATAACATTTTAATGTAATAAAAATGTTATTTTTAAAATGATTTGAATATCTTAAACCCTGTTTGTATCTTTTTTTGTTTGCTCGCATTGATTCGGCGGGTTAGGCTTTGAAACCAATGGGTGACCCGCTCAAAGCCTCAAACCACCATTGCAATTTTTTTTAACGTGTCAATGTGCAAAGAGTTTGAAAATAAAGTTTTGGCTCAAAATTCACTCATGAGCAAATGATCATATTTCTATCAGCCAGCATCCCATATTGGAAAAAGTTGCTCCAATTATTTTCTTCAAATGGTTATTAGTAATTGTATTTTTTAATAATTTTACTACTAATAATAATGTTACTTTGCTACTACTGCTGCTACTACTACTATCATTGAAGAACATATGAAAACACAGTGGGAATCCAATCTAATGTGGGAAGAAAATAAAAAGTCTAAAAAACAAGTAGAAAAATCCAACGCAAAAGAGAGAGAAAGAGGAGGGGGAGGGGGAGGGGGAGGGGGAAGAAGAAGAATAAGAAGAGGAAGAGGAGGGGGAGGGAAACTCAACAAACACATAGATGAATATAAAATAAAACATAGAGATGAATATAAAAGAAGAGGACAGAGAAAACTTATCCACAAAAACAGAACAGGGGAGACAGAGAAAACCAAAAAACACAGAGATGAATGACAGAGAAAACTTATCCACAAAAACAGAACAGGGGAGAGAGAGAAAGCCAACAAGCACAGAGATGAATATAAAATAAAACATAGAGATGAATATAAAGAAGAGGGCAGAGAAAACTTATCAAGAAAAACAGAACAGGGGAGAGAGAGAGAGAGAGAGAGGTGTACTTACCGGCCAGCCCATCCAGCACTGGGAGTGGGGCTCCCACTCTGCAGGCATGCGATAGCCATTGGAAGCGGGGGTCCCTTCAGCTTCCATTAAAAACCCCTCAAAAAAACTCAACCTTCGATTATTTTTTACAGAAAGTAAGGTCACAGAGAGAGAGAGAGAGAGAGAGAGAGAGAGAGAGAGAGAGAGAGAGAGAGAG